ACGACGCCCCTGCTACTTTTATTTTCTTTTTTTTTGTTCAAAAGCTAAACTCATAAGTACTCACAATGTAGGAAGACTAAGCTAACGCTAGAAAACAAAAGTTTTTGTGCAAACATTACAATTGCATGTTTGCATTACAATTTTATGTCTATGCTAAAATATTACATTCAAGAAACAGCTTCCTATTCTTCTGTCTTACATTTTCATTACTCAATTATTTTGGAAGGCTCATTATGCCAGCTTAGGTTTCCACTAATGTGAATTCTCTGTGGCTCTTAAAAACACCCCAAATTGAATTATTGCTTTCATCTTCTGGGAGTCTCACTCATTTTCCTACCATTAATCTATTTGTATCATTTTTTATTGCTCTCCTCAGTTTCGTTTCCTTTTTTAAATCTATTGTTTTTCAAAAATCCCTTTATGAATTTTAAAATCTTGAGTTTATCCTTCCTTTCTATCTTGGTTTTTTTGGGATTTGTTTTCATTGCACGTCTCTTTCTGATCGTGGTCATGTTTTCCTTTCTGCAACCTGTATTCTTGTCAGCCATCCCCTGCTTCATCTTTTACTTGTATCTCACATTCTGTCTCAACTGTGTCTCTAACCCAATCATTATCTGTGGTCATGACCATGATCCCTATATATATTTCTAAAAGGGCCCATTAGTTTCCCGTTTGTCCACAGAAGGATTTCTTTTCCCATTCCCCTCTTACCCACATCAGTGCTTCCACACAGAAGATTAGATTAAAGTTCACATTCAATAGCTGAGAGTCCACAGCACAGAGTCCACAAAGATGCTTGTGGTGTACACAGTGATGGAGTCTTGTAGTGGTTTCACAGTGAGCTAATGGTTAGAGAAACCAGCTTTTGACCGGAAACACAGTGAGTTCTTTGAAATAATGGCATTTCTTTCCTGCTTGACCTACACAAAAATAGCCTATCTGTTTATCTGCAGAGATGTTTGCTTGGCAGCAGTGACTCATCTATGCACTGAGACTTTTTAAAATCTGTTATTTTTTAATAAACTTGGAATAAAAAAGAAAATCAAACATCAACATCAAAAGGTCTACTTAGGTTCTCTCAGCTGCTTGATAAGAAGGCAACTGGACTTATTTTGGTTTGTGAAGATGGTTAGCCTCTCGTCATTTAGTTCTAAAACAACTGATGTACCCTTTAACCTTGTAACTGAAGATGCAGACACCCTAACAAATGCAGCATGAAAATCTTTTTCAAATTTTGTGGGATCAGATGTTTTTTGGAGACATATTGTAACTTGTATCATAGAAACACATACAGACGACAATAGACATCAAGGCGGGAATGAAACGAAGGTCCCGGTTTGAAATGAGCAGCAGGTTTTGTGTTTAAGATGTATATGTTTTAACAAAAAAGGAAATAAATAAAAATTAATTTGAAAGAATAAGGAAACTATATTATTTTGAATACAATCTAAAAGCAATTTATAACACCTTGTATATTTAACTGTTTAACTCTAAGTCAAGTGTGTCATATTGGATATATGCGTTTTTGTGAGTTTCTGAGACTTCTACATACTCAGTGTGACTTTTTTCCCAGAAAAAGTCCAAATAAAATCTACAATTCACTTTTGAGGAATGCACTGAAAAAGAAAATGCCTTATCAAATATTATACAAATTTAAAGGGCCTCAAATGTAAAAGGGTTAAGCAGTGTTTAAAGTTTGCCTGAAAGTAACAACCCATGCTGCTGAAATCACATTTGTAAGGCGTAGATCCTGCCATAGGGAGCGATTACAAAGACTGTATTGTCTACAATTATTTCTTGCATTAAGTGACGTACACAGATGCACACAAACTCAAACACACAGAAAACAGGTGACACTGTGAGATGCATGCCAGTTGTGTTTCCATGCTAACAGTAGATTGGAGCGTTTGGCTTGCGGTTTTTACAGATTGGTTCTGCTCAGCCAGAAAATACACCAGCATTATAGCAGAAAATTACAGAAACGTCTGTGTATGAGTAGGGCACATTTGTTAGTGTGCAATCATTCATTTCTGTCCTTCCTTTGAAATCTAGATACTGATATAAGTCTTCGGGGTAAATACTGACTGCTTATACACTGTAATTTGGAGACAAGTACCAGTCTGTGATATGGCATCTGCATTTGTTTGGGCATGGTATTGCTTGGCACTCCATGCTGTCTGACGATGTGACCTCATACAACACCATAAGCTTTAAGATAATCAAATCATTCACAGAACACTCCAGCATTTGCCAACAACTGACACACACACACACACACACTGAAATAGCTTAGAGAGTTTTCCCTTATGGTAGATTCCCATTTGGATGCATGGAAGTATATTGGCTGCGCTAGATGATGTCAGCTGGTATTTGTTAGGATTGCTCCTGAGCTTCACTTCTTGCTCAGCCTAAACATATTCCTGATTTGAGATTTTTGTGTGGTGCTAAATTTTGAAGAATTGGGCTTTAAAAATTGGTTGCTGCGACTAAAAACAACTGGAATTTTACATGTTCTTTCCTGGAGATGGAAAAATCCTTTATAGTCTTTTTTTTTTGGCACATACTGATATCTGTATCAGCGGAAGCTAAAAAACTAATTTGTTTCTATTTGTTTTTTTGTTTAATGAAAAGTAAGAGAAGTCCAAAGGTTTTTAGTGCATGTACAATGAAACAGGCAAGCAATACAAGGGAGAGACTTAGTTTGGGGCATGGAATTGAGCGTTCTTGATAGTTCTTCAAAATGACGTCATTTAGACTAAACCAAAACAGATCACACCCTCACTCAAAAGACTTACTTTCTCAGTAACATGTCGGCTTGAGTGGAGAAGAATAAATGTGGCTTGTTCTAAAATTTTAAAACAATATTTCAAATTGATGCTAATGATTTACTGATTAAACTGAAAAGAAACTGTAAAAACATAAAGCTATTTTTCTATTTTCAGTAAAGAACAGTCATCTCTAGTCTGAAATACATGAAGCTAAATGACTGTAACTTTGTTTCTTAATGTTAATTCCTGAATCCTAATGCTTACTATTGTTATGTGATTATAAAACCTGTGTTTTCTACCTAGATTTATAGAGTGAGTCTTTTACAAATAGCTATGCAACCTTGCATTAACATCATTAAAGTTCATATAAAGTCAGTTATTCGAATGTTCTTACATCCACTTAGCTTTTCATTTTTTCCTGTATTCCTGAATAGAAAAAAGGAGCTGTAGGATAGTTGTAACGACACCAGAGAATTGACATTTTTATTTATCCATTAGACAATAGATAAAGACAGCAATAATGCTGGTTTCTATTGTTAAAAAAAAGTTGTTGTTTTTTTTAGTTGTATATTCATTACTGATATTTTACTGCAAAAATGTGCTTACGCATGTAATATAATTTATAGCAATGGAAGAATCAGACAAAGCAGATTAAGGGTTTTTTGTTTTGTTTTGACTGTTTTTTTTTTTTTAGTCCTACTTCCTCCTAGAAAAATCACATTATCTGCAAAGAAAACTATGACAGTTAGATTTAATTCATACCATGGTATATAGCTTACACCCCATGGCCATTAGGAAACATACACCAAAGCTGGCAGATTAATTTCAGAACTGTTTACCTCATACGTTACCAAAGAGGTAAAGAAATAAACAAAACATCTCTACACAGCAAATGTTCTTTCTCTGCCTCTTTAACCCACTATAGGCTCCAGATCATAGTCTCCTGTCCACTACTTTGAGTTAAGTTTGGAGTAAAGACAACAACAGGATGAGATAGCAGAGCACATAGGAGAGAGATCACTTGCAATCCTGTGGTATGTTTTGTCTAGGATGCAACACATCCTGCTTCCAGGCACTAAGAAGCCTTTTCCCCCACAATTTTTAACATACTATAAACATAACTGAGCTGGTCTGCTAATTTGTTCTAGTTTTAAATGAAAAAAGAAGAAGAAGAAGGAGTAGAGTCTGATTATTACAGAGTCCTGCAAAGTGTGAAACATAGCTCTGCTCAATGCTCACATAAAACTGTCAAGACTTCACACGCAGCTTGGGTGATAAGTTAAACAGGCAGAGTTTCATCTGCAGCGTATAAACAGACACCAAAAAAGTTGACCACACTGCAGCACTACAGTAAAAAAACCCAAAAACTGCTGCTGTTCATTGCAACTGTGTTTTTAGTTTTAGTTTGGAAAGCTGGACTGAGGCCAGCTGTATCTGTGAGAACTGTAATCTGTTTTTTTTTATGCACAGCCTATATACCTCAGACATCCGTTAGTGTTCTTTATAGGTGAAAATGAAAGTACAGCTGGAGAGTAATTGAGGGTATTTCACAATTCTTACCAAGAAAACAGGACATGCTAGCACTAGAAAATTTCTTCAGAACTATAAAAGATGGGATGTGGGATTAATCTAAATTCCTCATATTCTGTTGGTAGTACAGATGCTGTTGTTTACAGACTAGCAGAAAAGTTCTTTTGTTTTGTGCACAATTATTGTGAAGCGTAAAGCCTTAAAGGCACTTGCATGGACATGGGCCTTGGTACTTGATATATGTATCTTCTAAAAGAGACATAATTTACTATACTTTAAATCAACAACACCACATTATTCAAACCACTATGTTTATATATTTTTGCTTGCATATATTTAATTATTTTCATACTCATTTGGCTATTTGCAATCATAAGTTTAAAGGTGACTTCATAACTAAAACTCTGAGCATTTTAATAATGATCATGGGGAGCACCACTGACCAATATGATTTACTATATATGAGGTCTGCAGTAGTGCTAGGAGGACATTGTGCTTGGATTCAGTGTTGAATGTAACAGCCTCATAGTTAAACTAATTAACACATGCATCGTTTTGCTGCTGCTGGCGACTTCAAATGTTGGGTCATTGCTACAAAGACAAATACATATATAGGCAGTGGCATCCTGCTAGAAAGTCTAGGTTAGTGACTATCAAGAGATCAACAGCTACAGTACGTAGACTGAAAGTGAATGCTCTTACCCAACACAATGACCACAGTCTTCAGAAGAGACATCATGGTATCTCGGTTGCGTCGTGGTCCAGAGCTGTGCCGTGACATCCTCATGGTTCTCTGCCTCACATACACAAAGATGTGGGCATATAGTGTCACCATGACAACAAAAGTCACAAGATTAAACACTGCCCAGAAGACCAAGTAAGAGTTGCTGTAGAGAGGTGCCATGTTGGAGCAAGACTTAATGCTACAGATACAGTTCCAACCTACGCTGGGTATCGCCCCCATGACTATGGACATAGTCCAGATAATGACAATCACAACCACCACGCGGCGGTTGCTCATGCGTGTGTGTAACTGCATGCGGAACACGGTGATGTGGCGTTCAATGGCGATGGCAAGCAGGTTGGCTACAGATGCAGTAAGGCTGGTGTCAATCAAGCCCTGACGCAGCAGCCATGTCGAAACAGTCAGACGCTTTGTGTTTGGTCCCGTGTTGAACATCAAGTAGAAGTACGCCAATCCAGCAAAGAAGTCAGCAGCTGCCAGGTTGGCCATCAGGTAGTAAATGGGGAAGTGGAATCTCCTGTTGACGTAGATGGCGATCATTACCAGAAGGTTGGCGAGCATGATGAAAATGCACACAGTGATGCCAAGGCCCATCACCAACCGGCTGTAGGTGTCCCAGTCGTTAGCAAGAGGCTTGTCACTGCGGTTGTAGAAAAAGGTGATGCTCTCATTATAGTAGCATTGTTCCTCATCCATGGCTGTAGTGGTGTTTACTAAAATGAGAAAAGACATGGAATACATAAAATTTTCATAGAACACAGTCTTTTGATGTATATTTGAATACCATAGATTTAATTTCAAAAGGGAGGTTTATTTTTCAGATCCATGGAACTGAGACAACATGCACCACCTCAAATTAAAATCTGCATTATGAAGTCAGTGCTGTTTAACTTTTTTATTGTTTTCTTTACTTGATCACCTCGTGTAAATCACACGAAGGAGCATTAAACTAAACAAAGAAACACTTCCACTGAATGTGCAAAAGCATATGTGAGTATTTCAGCTTATCTGATTATCTGATTGCAGTGCTGTGTGAGTGAAACGTGAATCCTTTTCTCAGATTTTATCTTGACAGGCTGATACTTACAGAGGTTTTGCTAGAAATTGTTACAAAACAGTAGATGCAGTGTGATCAAAACGCCTTTGTGTGCTTTAAATGTGAGAATCTGGGCCTATTCATTACAATTTTGATGTGAAGCAATCTAGTATATTAATCTATATCATAAGCATGCTCCATGTTAGTTGTCATCTATAGCAGTCACTATTATCTCATAGAAAACATACACTGTCCAATATACAACCATGTGTAAAATGAAGCTTGTGTTGCCTACAAGTCACAGAAGTTTACAAGTTTACAGAAACATTACACAAAGGTGCTGCGTTTTTTGTGCCTGCAGGTTTGCCTTTTTTTTTCATCTGGTTGAGGTTTACTAGTATTTATGCTTAAAAGATGCATGAGGAGGAGACTGAGTGAATGTGTGTGTGAATGGGTGGATGACTGAATGTAGTGTAAAGCGCTTTGGGTCCTTAGGGACTAAGTATAGCACTATACAAATACAGGCCATTTACCATTTTACCATTTACTGAGAAAATAAGTAGAAACAACAGCATCATCTCTCTCTCTTTCTCTCTCTCTCCCACACACACACACACACACACACACACACACACACAAACACACACACACACACACACACACACAATCACTACTCACATGAGTATATGTGTTTGTAATAAAGCTCAAGTCCCACACGGATGCTGGCTAGTGTCTCTCATGCACCTAAGACCGGAAACAGGACCTCAGGGCATGAGTAGTCTGTTTGTGTGTGTGTCCTAGAGATACAGACACAAGGAGGACTGGAGAAAAATGAGGGGACAATGACTGAAAGAACAAGTATTGGAAGTTTTGGGTCAAAGGCCGGTGTTTTCTTTTTTGTCTTTCTTTTAAATTTTCCTTTCTTCATCTTCTTCTGTAATCATCCAAATTATTCGAAGCCCTTCATGAAAGTGCAAACATGAAGCCCCCCCCCCCCCCCTCTAGCTAACTTGCAATTTTGGGAGAAAAAAAATTATTACAACCTTCACCTCTAAAATAGTCACATGAACAATCAAAAATCATCCTGGGAAATGAAGCAATGTTGAAAGCATTGAAAACTTAAGCTTGCCAAAGCTATTTGTTCAAATTCTGCAACTCAACTTGGTAATTTGCTTTTCTGAATGTTATATAATGGAGAGCGAAAACCTGCAGGTCTAACCAATAATTTTCTCAAGACTGTGCAATTGTTCCATAGTGACTCATGTGTTAAAGTATAAGTTTGGTATAAACAGCAGAATGACGGCAGCAAAATGAGCAGTGTGTGATATACGTACATTGCTTAGGTGTGTATTAGACGTTGCAGTGCACTAATGGCAACTTAAAGCTGTTTGCTTAAAGTTGAAACCAGTTAAAGAAAATACTTTTCTGGATATTTAGATTTCATTTTATTTATTTATCTTTATTTTCTTAAAGACCAATAAAGAACTCCAGCTGCAGCCATATTTGCCTGAAGCACCAGTAAAATGTTATTTTGTTTACTAAAATAGCAGTGGTACATTGTATTAGCAGTATTGGATTATAGCTAGTACTGGACTGTTCCAGGCCTACGGGATGTATCTGCTTCTTAATTTCCAAACACTAACCAGACAGCGTTGGAAAGTAGGGCCTCCTTTTTCAGACATGCTTATTTACCAATGTTTTGTTTTGCTTTTTTTAATGGTTTTGTCTATGTGTAAGCAACGATCCTTCCCTGTGTTAATACAGCTCATTTAATACACTCATGGAGAGACTTATGAAACTCTTTGGCAACTGATTAATTATGGAACCCTTGGACCTTGGTTCACAGCTGTTTTCACTACATTAACCACCAATATGTAAACTCACTAGGTCCTTTGAGATTGTCTTCCATTGTTATGCTGATGATCTACAATTATTTACACCAATTTCTGGAGGAAATTGATATGCCTGTTAATTTTGGTGAAAAGATGGTTTTAAAATTTAAGTATTACTGAACTAAAACATGGATGGACAGAAAGCATTTATTTATTTTTATTTATTTATTGTTTAAGAAAACCCTTTTTATTCATTCAAATGGCTTTCTTTCACCTGAGAAGTTTTGCTAAAATCAGACGTATTTTGTTGTTCAAATATGATGAGGTTCTATTTTATGCCTTTGTGCATCTAGTTTGGATTATTGTATTGCTTTACTATTAGGATACCCAAAGAAGAGGTATGTTAGAGGTCTGAACGTGGTTTAGAATGCAGCAGCTTGCATTCTTACTGGTTCATCTAAATATGATCATTATACTTCTGCGCTTTGCCTCTCTTAATTGGCTTCCTATTTATGCAAGAGCAGACTTTATATCTGCATAACATTCTTCTTGAAAGTTGAAAAAGCCAGAAAAAACAGGATTTGTTTTGCCCCTTAGCAAGGTAGAGCCATTCATTCATGATTACTATAGTGCAGTGCTTGTTTGCTGCAGCGCAGTCATGGACAGAGCCTGGTCAGTGCACTACATATGGCTTATTTAGGGAGTTCCAGTTATTTAGGGAGGTCTGTGCTTTCTAAAGGACTATGATGGAAAGCACTCTTTAAATAAATATATTATTGTTAATAAAGAGGGTTTTTTAATTAACCTGCATAGTTCTTCCATACAAAAATTAAAATATAAAAATTTTAAAATAAATAATATAAGGAAATCATTCAAAGACTAACATTTTAAAAGGACTGACAACAGAAGATGACTTGCAGAGGTTTATAGTATACTGAGGCCAGCGAGCAAATCATTTTCAGTGTAGTAATGTGCAGTGTCCAGCCCTGTAAGGAAACTGCATTGTTTGAGTTTTTTAAAACCAGGATTCATTTAACCCTCTGGGGTCCACGGATGCGCCAGGGCATCAAAATCACATGACCAATTTTAAAAAATGTACAATTTGTATTTGCATTTCAAGTTTTGAAAATGATTTGTTAAACATATTTGTGGTTCTTACAGTAAGAAATATAACTTTTTTCTACTCTGATTTTAAGTTTTTTGTCTGAATTCAGATCAATTGTGCTAATACATTATGTCAAAATGAAACCATAACTCCAAATTCAGATATGTGAGGTTGTGCTGAAAAGAATGATACCAAACAAGGCAAGATAAACAGTTTTAAAAGGTGAAATGTAGAGGTCAAATCAAAAGTAGTCAAAAACAGCTAATTTTACCCTGGACCCCAGAGGGTTAAATAGAAAGCTGTATGGCCTCATTGCAAAAGAGTGTTATTAAGACATGTGAAAATAAAGAACACATCTGTTTTTGAAGCAAACTGCTAAATTTGCAATACTCCCCCCTTTCCTGTTTGTAATGGGTGTGTTATTTCCTTTTGGTGTCTGTGGAAGTTTTTTGGGGTTTTTTTTCTTAAAGAAGTGACAGTATCATTCCTGCATCTAATTATTAAGATTTTAATCATTGCTCATGTAAGGCAGTCAGTCAGCAATAAGAAGAGGCATTATGAGGAACAACTAAATGACAGCAGCAACACTAATTTAAAAGAAAGTCACAGGGATCGAGTCTCCATTTACAATGACCACAGCAGATGCCCATGTCGTCGTCTGCAGTTTATGGCCATTAAATGTCTGGAGGGAGCAATCAACAGGGCATTAGATGCCTGAGACAAGTCATTATCAAAAGAAAGTGGAGGAAGTGTCAGTGACCTCTCACTTTCATCAGACCTTCGGAGCCTGTGGAAGGAGATCCTGTCATTGTGTATGTATCTGCATACAACAGTTGATAGCTGAATATTGTACAAGACTGTGTAAGAAAAAGGACATAGAATGAGGGGAATTTCGTTTTTTGTTCCTGAACAACACAAAGAACAGTGCAGTGACTTATTTTTCAAGAATTTAAATGTGTTTGAGAGCAAGAGAGGAACGTTTGGGAAGTGTGTAGAAGAGAACAAAATGCTCACTGTGCCCAAGTGTGTGTCGACACACTCTTCATGCTTGTTAGTAATGTGTGATAAAGTCTGGCTGTGCGGAGTGAGAGACTCAGTGTGTGTTTTGTGTGTGTAAGTGTCTAACAGGCTATGAAAGGACCACCCTGGAATCCATAGATGTGAGGTCATTACTCAAGGATCAACAGCAAGGCTACATCCGTATATTGTCAATGTACGCCTAACTGACACATGCATAGGGGCTAGTTGTTCTTCACCATTACTTATTCACGCTACAACAAAGTGCTAAATTGACAATAAATGATGCAGCCTTGCAGGGTGAGATAATTTTTCACCTTTGAAAAATTGAGCTACTAATGCTCAATCACAAAACTACACGGTTCCTAGAATATGCATTCAGTACCACATACAATGGAAGCTATAGCTTGAAATGAGGTAAACAAAGGACCATAGACTTTTTTTATTACTATTAAAAGATTTATGGAAATCTTCAACACTTTGCTTTAGGTTAGCTGTAATAGAAACGGGCTCATGGCATTTAAATCTGTTAACACACTTTATGGTATTAGTAGAAAAGCACTGAATCAGGACTGCTATGTCAGCATGTGCTACATAGTAAATTGTTTATCCAGCCCATTCTCATTGCAAGGACATTAAATCTGTCATTTTCTCCAAATTACACACAGGGCGTCTTTTCACACGAGTGGCTGTGGACCAGGTTTAGGTAATAGTCACGCAGAT